AGGGGGCCTTGTTTTTAAAGGTTCGTCAGAATTTCAGAGCAAAAAAATCCAAGCATACAAATGTCGCCACTGAAATTGGAGGACATTCCAAGCGGGAGCGTCACTTCTGAGTCAAACTTGGATGATCTCCAATTTCCATAAGGATCCTGCTCCAGAGGAGTCCTTATCACAATTCTGGCGAAAACAGTTTGACACATTCTAAAAAAAAAGTTATCCCGGCGAAACCCGAGGAACTCAATTTCCCATGGGATCCTTATCACAATCCTAGATCCCAAGCTGTTTTTTCTGCCGAGTCCCGAAGACGCCCACTTTCCAAAGGAATCCGTTTTACGTTTACAATTCTTTATATAACATGAAAATTAGCCTGGCGAAGGACCCTACAATATGCAGCCGTGAAAACCGCAATTTTGAATCGCATCTTCGCTCGCGCTCCCTATAGGGCCACGAACCGTGCGCGGGGCCGTGCCGGATTGCGTGGCAGGGTCCACAGTGCGAACGAAGACGGTCGGTCTGAACGCGAGAGATTGAGAACGGGTGAGCCTGAGCGCGAGTGAGTCTGATTGTGAATGAGTCTGCGTGCGAATCAGTCTACGCGCATGAATGTCGACGCCCATGTCCGCGCGCTCCTCACGAGGATCGCGCCCGCTTCCTTCCGTTTCTTTTTCTGCCTCTTTGCCCGTGCACGCCAATGTCCGTGACTGCGGGCGCGGCGCCGCACGGAGCCCCCACGACGCGCGCCGGTCGCCCCGAATGGGTCCCGGCGACGCGCGCGGATTGTCCGCTGCACGGATCAGAGAGAGTTAGCTGGCTGGCTGATAGCGGGCAAGGCTGTGGCCGCCGGGCAAAGCGACGACGGGGGCGAGCGAGGCTCTGGGCGGAGCGCAGCGCGGAATTCCCGCGACGCGCGCTGGTCGCTCCGAGAAGGTCCCAGCGACGCGCGCGGGTCGCCCGCGGCGCGAGGCCAAACGGTCAGACCGTCGAGAGACGGCGAGGCTCGGGCGGGCCGCTCCTCAGGTCAACTCTCGCGGATATGCTCGGCGAAGCCCAGCTCCCTGGCGAGGACCGTCGCCTCCCTTCTGCGCCGCTTCGTGCACGCCGCAAACTGCCCCAGCTGCTTCCGCAAGCCCCCTGGCGGCCCTGCCAGGAAACACTCGATGCGCGGCGCCCGCATGAGCAGGAGGTCCTCGTGGCGCGTGGCTCGCGAGAGCAGCGCGTAGAGCTCTAGCCACCAGTCGTCGTCCTCCTTCTCGATGTTCCCGACCACGTGGCGGCCGCAGTCCACGATCGCGCCGGGGCGGCGTCGGCCGAGGGGGCAGCGCGCCAGACAGCCGACGGCCCAAGGCGAGAGTCCACGGGACCGAGAGAAGGTCTGGCCGCGGATTGCTCGCGCCCAGCAGGTCTGGCCGTAAACTGCCCCAGAGCTCTGTTCCTTCGCCCCGTCGCCTTCGCGCATGGCGCGCCCCTGGCACGCCGCCGCGGCGATGGCCCTGCCGTGCGAGAGCGGGAAGCCCGTTCGGGTGACCCTGGAGGTGCGGAAGGTGAACGGCTCCGACGCGCGAGGCTCGATGTTAAGATGTATACTATTGCTACTTCTACTTTTACTATTACTACTATTCTACTACTATTCTACTACTATTCTACTACTACTACTACTACTACTACTACTACTACTACTACTACTACTACTACTACTACTACTACTACTACTACTACTACTACTACTACTGTTACTGCTACTGCGACGACTACTACTACTACTACTACTACTACTACTACTACTACTACTACTACTGTTACTGCCACTACTACTACTTCTTCTTCTACTACTACTACTACTACTACTACTACTACTACTACTACTACTACTACTACTACGACGACTACTACTAATAATAGTAATACTAATACTCCGACTACCACCTTTTTCCGCCCCGCAAATATCGAACAGCGACGGACGGCCCATGTTTACAACGAAGCTTTTGCTCGAGCCACACGTTTGTTCATAACGTATGACCAGTAGCGCCATCATGTGCGACAGGTGCATGATATTGACCTCGTTTCTGTTTTCAGAGCCGGGCTCTCGGATCGCATTCTTCATTGCCAAGAACTCAGGGCAGTTCCTTTTTGACCTCTCGTTTTTCAAAGGGGCGTTCCCTAGCGCAATGTAGTGCCTGTAGGGACTTTCGAGGAAAGGACCTGGGACGATGGGGTGGATTGCAGCATCGCTGGCGCGTCCTTTGTTCTGTTCACTTTCCTTGTCGAGGAGGAACTAAAGGCCCAAAGCCTCCGAGACGCAACCATCAGAAATAAGATCGTCCAAAATGGAGGAACAAAGCTCAACAATGCGGGTCGAACTTCCACTGCGGACAGTTTGAGCTTCTGGTCATGGGGGGAGGTGGCCAAAGGATGCAGAAGATAGCGGCGGAGGGGAGGCTCTGACAACCGCGGTGGAGGGGAGGCTCTTACGACCGGACATGCCGCGTCTGGGACACCCTCAGCGGCGACGTTGGGGGATTGTGGGAAATGGGCCTTTCGTGGCCGAACGGCCAGAAGTTGAGGAGAATCAGAAAGAGGGAGGAGGCGGGATAAGAGAAGAGGGATGCGGCAGGGGGAGAGAGGAGGGAGAAGAGGAGCAGGAGGAGTAGGAGAAGAGGGATGACGTTGATGATGCTGATGATGATGATGATGAACATGATGATGGTGCTGATGATGATGATTATGCTGATTATGATGATGATGATGATGATGATGATGATGATGATGATGATGATTATGATGATGATGATCATGAGGCTGATTATGATGATGGTGATGATGATGGTGATGATGGAGATGATGGAGATGATGGAGATGATGGTGATGATGGTGATGATGATGACGATGATGATGATGATGATGATGATGATGATGATGATGATGATGATGATTATTGGTAATGGTGGTAGGGTGGTGATGATAATGATGATGTTGCTGGTGATGATGATGCTGATGATGAGATTGATGATGCTGCTGTTGATTATCATGATGATGGTGATGATGATGGTGATGATGATCATCATCGATGGGAATCGTGTCCCAATTGTGACGTCGGACCTTCGCTGGGCGCTGTTGTCCGGAAGGGGCTACGGACTCATTCCGCTCTCGCGTGCACAGGGGCCGAGCGAGGGCGTGCCTAGCGCGCGCGCGCCCGGTTGTCGCCTCGAAGGTTAGCGGCCTTTTGCGCGGCGCGGCACTGTTTGGAGAAGAATTATGTTTGGTGCAGCGCCCTAGGACTTGTATGGTATTTTACGCTGCAGGCTGGGCAGACTGAGCCTACGCAGAAGCTGCGCGCAGTCATCCTCGTGCTGGGCTTGCGCCTTTGATCCGCGGCCAATCCTTGCTGACCCTTGCGCTGCTTGTCACAGACAGGACAGATGAGGACAGGCTTGTCATAGGCAGCTGGAAGGGGAGGAGTCTGCTTCCCACGCAGCCTGCGCTAGGCCGGTAGGTTGGGCTGGTCTGGGATCCACCACTTCATCAGGGCGGCCTAGCTCTTCCAGCGACGAGGGAATTCGACGTGTAGGCTGATGGTGATGGTGATCGTGATGGCTGCGGTGGTGGTGGTGGCGGCGGCGGCGATGGTAGATGATGACGATGATGAGGAGGAGGATGCGGATGAGGATGAGGATTGTGAATATTACCTATACGACCACCCTTCGGGTGATAAGGAGGTGAGGGGGGGGGTTGGAAGGGACCAACGTCGCACTCGATCGATCTTACTATCGAACTCACAACCGATCTCACAATCGATCTCAATCGATCGATCTCACAATCGATCTGACTATCGATCTCACAATCGATCTCACAATCGATCTCACATTCGGTCTCGCTATTGATCTCACAATCGATCTCACAATCGATCTCACAATCGATCTCACATTCGATCCGACTATCGATCTAAATATCGAACTCACTTTGGATCTCATTATCGATCGTATATTCGGTCTCACTACCGATCTCACTATCGATATCACAACCGATATCACAATCGATCTCACATTCGGTCTCACCATCGATCTCACTATCGAACTCACTATCGATCTCATTATCAATCTCAATCGATCGATCTCACAATCGATCTGACGATCGATCTCACAATCGATCTCACAAAGGATCCCACTATCGATCTCACATTCGGTCTCACTGTCGATCTCACTATCGATATCACAGTCGATCTCACAATCGATCTCCCATTCGGTCTCACAGTCGATCTCACTACCAATACCACTATCGATCTCACAATCGATCTCACAATCGATCTGACATTCGGTCTCACGCTCGATCTCACAATCGATATCACTATCGATCTCACTATCGATCTCACATTCGACCTCACTATCGATCTCACTATCGATCATCAAAATAAAACACCAACATCATCATCACCATCATCATCACACAACATCAACATCATCATCATCATCATCATCATCATCATCATCATCATCATTATCATCATCATCATCATCATCATCATCATCATCATCATCATCATCATCATCATCGGGTCACCGACGGGACACCAGCGGGACACTGGCGGGACACCGCGGGGCCCCGGCCGCCCGGAAGGGAGACATTTGGTCCGGCCGCGCCTCAGCCACACGGGACACCAGCGGGACACCGGCGGGACACTGCTTGCCCCCGGCCGCCCGGAAGGGAGACATTTGGTCCGGCCGCGCCTCAGCCACAGGAGATTTTCTCTCGCCTGCCCACGCAGCTTCGCCTCGCCCGCACGCACGGCACGCACGAACACGAAACCGAAATCGATTTCCCGGTAGGGGGGCTCTCCGTTCCACTTCGATCTCACCCCCTCACCTCCGATGACGATGAGGAGATCAGAATTTTGCGGCTGCTGATGCTGCTGGTGATGTTGTTGATGTGTATAATGATGCTGATCATGATGATGATGATGATGATGATGATGATGATGGAGGTGATGATGAGGATGGTAATGATAAATTGATGTTGATGATGATGGTCATGATCATGTGGCTGACGATGATGATGCGATGCTGACCACGACGACGACTACGATGACGACGATGATGATGCTGATGATGATGATCAGGCTAATGGTGCTGATGCTGCTGATGATGATTCGGATGAGGATGATGGTGAGGATGATGCTGGTGATGTTGATGATGATGGTGTTGATGATGATGATGATGGTGATGGTGGCGATAGTGGTGATGATGTTGATGATGATGATGCTGATGATGGTGATGATGATGCTGATGATGATGATACTGCTGCTGCTGCTGCTGCTGCTGCTGATGATGATGATGATGATGCTGATGCTGATGATGATGATGATGATGATGATGATGATGATGATGATGATGATGATGATGATGATGATGATGATGATGATGATGATGATGATGATGATGATGATGATGATGATGATCTCTCGGATTCTTCCATCGTCGCGCGCGTCGTGGTCGTCTGCAGCAGCTTCGGGATTAAGCCTTCGCATGGCATCCGTGGGCGGGCGTTTTATGCAGGCGTTCTCCCAGGCCGCCATCGCGGGCGCGGGGGCGGTGATCTATCAGACTCTGCAGGCCTCGCTCTACGAGCGGCTCGTAGGCCAACCCTTGGCACCACTCGCGGACTACGTCGGCTCTTCTGAGGGGTCCTTGTGGTTCGCTCAGGCCGACCCGAGCGGCGGAAGGCACTGCTCTCCTGCCGCTTGGGGTGCAGCTTGCCCCACCGTCTGCGTGGGGCTGGCGACGGATCTGAGCAGAGGGGTGGCTCCTCTGCTGCTCTCTTTGGTCGTGGCCCTTCTGGTGGCCATTGCCGTCTGCAGCATTTCCGGGGGCTGCTGCATCGGGGCCATTGTGGCCCGCTGGCGGGGGTCATCGGGCCTCCCACGCGCGGGGGCTGCGATCGGAGCCCCTCTCGGGCTTGGTCGCGGCCCGCAGCGCGCCCTGGCCTACGGCCCGGTAGTGCAAGCTGAGGAGCGCGAGCGGGCCTTGTCGCGGGGCCCAACCGCTGCACTTTCCCGTGGCTAGGCCTGGCTGGCGGCCTGCGAGCCGCCCACTCGTCTCCAGCCATGGCGGCCGACGCTTCGGCGTCGGGGGGATCCCACCGTCAGCTTCGCGGTGCGACCGCTGGCGGCTGGACGAGGGCGAGGTGAGCTACGCCGCGATCCCCCTGGGCGCTCGGCCCGGGGGTACCCTGCTGGCGTTGCCTGGGTCTGTCCGATCAGCCGACCGTCTCAGTCTGGCGGAGGCGGAAGTATTCACAGGGTTGGTGGCCCCTTTCAGATGGTCAGCGTGCCCTTGTTCGGCGCGGCTTCGCTCCCGCTGAGCACGACCGCTCCTGTGCTGGTGGTCGACTTGGAGGTCTCCGAGATGGATTTGGTGGCACTCGCCTTTCTGGGCGAGGGATACATCGACGGGCTGATCCCGTTCGGATCAGCTCGCGGCCGCGCGCATTGGCTGCGCCCATCGGCCACGCGGCGGCCCACGGCGCCGCGCCCGTTGATGGGAAGGAGGCCCAGCTCGGCGCGGAGAGGGCTGCGCCCTACCAATCCGCGGGCGAGTTCGCGGGGGGCCAGCCAGAGGACAACGCCGAAGTCGCGGAGCGCCTTCCTCTCCCAGCGCGAGCCCCGCCGCTGCCAGCGGTGCCTCCTGCGCCAGCGCGGGGCCGTCTCGGCGGGCGGCCGAAGCCCTGGGCGGGCGAGGCCCGTCCGCGAGCGGGAGGGGCCATCGCCGCAGCTCTGGGCGAGGGGGCGCCGATGACTCGCGCAATTCGAAGTCCAGCCGGAGATCCAGCGGCTGATGGCTGCGAGCGCGGCCCAGCCCATGGCCCCGCCCCTGGGGGCTCGCCCGAAGGGGACTTGCGCCCGCCTCGAGGCGCCGCAGTTGTTCGCGGACGAAACGGCCCGCGTGGGCACCCCTCAGGAGGTCCTGCTGGCGCAGTCGCCTCTTCCCCCCCGCCGACTTCGCAGCCGCGCCGCCGCGCCGGCGTCGGCGCAGGCGGCAGCTCGGGGGAAGAGCGGACTTGGGGGCGCGCCCCCGCCATTTCTGGTTCCGCCGCCGCCCCCTGCCCCCCCTGGGCGCGCCGTGCCCGACGGGGGCGGCGGCTTCGGGGGGGGGCGCCACGGGGGGCGGGCCCCGCGCGAGCGGCGCGCCAGAGCCCACTTTGGAATTGGCACCGCTGTGTCCGCGGGAGTCCCTCAGAGGGCGGGGCCGCCGAGGGCGGCGACGCGCCCGCCGCTGGGGGCGCGGCCGATGTGGGCCGAATCCCAACCAGCTGGGCCCAATCCCAACCAACTGGGACCAATCCCAACCAGTGCGAAAAGCAAACTGGGCCCAATCCCAACCTGCTTGGGATAGCCTCACAATAAGATCTTAAGTGTAGAGAAGCCCAAGACGACTGTGAAGACCAAGTGACACCTCTTATGTCAACGCAGAGGTTCTGGAAGCCAACATACGTGCCAGAGTTGGAATTGGTCTC